GTGACAGTGCACTCTATCTTATTTATAAAGGATTAACTTGCTTTTGCCTTCCAAGAGAGCACACCATTCCCCCACCCCATTTCCTTTAGAAGCAACTAGCCAGATGCTTGACTGAACAAGTAAGCTATAAATTAGATTCGTACCGGGCAGGCAGAGACACCAAATTCCAAAGAAGTTACAAAGAAAGCCAGAAGAGATAAGGACCGACGTGGGCATTTCTTTGGTAACCAGAAGAAAAAAGTTAAACTTAGATTCACCTCTTTAGGGCCCACCTTTACTCCTCCCTAGACCATCCCAAAAATCCCTTATATGGACATGAGGGGATGTATTTGTAATTACATTTGTAAATGCCTATAAAATCTTTGTTGCTTGCTTTGCAAGGTGTGGTTCTCCTCAACACCTTGCGACGGTGTTGAATGAGCCATCCAGATGTTACTTGGCCAATAAAACATTTGTTAGATAAAAAGCCTTGTCTCAAGTTTATTTGGTTCTCTGAACTTGGGTAAACAAATAAATAAAGGCTTGTGCCTAACAAAAAGATAACGTGAATATGAGCCAACAGTGTGATGTAGCTATAGAAAATGCAAATGCAATTTTATGCTGCATGAACAGAAATTTAATTTCCAAAACACAGGAGATAATTGCTCCATTTTATTCTGCTTTGGTCAGAGCCAGTTCAGGCACTACATTTTAAGAAAGATTCAGAGAATGGTAACACATACAATCAGGATATTAAAAACTAGTCATATGAGGGATGATGATGGCGATGGATGAGCAGCTCTGAATCTGTCTGGGGAGGAAGGAAAGAAAGAGATAAAGGTAGAACAACTGGGGATTGTTAGGGTTAAGAAACAGTGGGCACTAGAAACATGGACACTCAGAAAAACTCTAAAGGTGGTACAGGTATATAATAAAAGGGCACTAAGGGGTGAAGATTACTGTACACTATCTTATGGTTATTAAGTGTGATGGAAAAATTGTACAGTTAAGGTTATTAAGTTTATGGAGAGTCTTCCGTCTTCTTTTGAAGATGATGGTTTGTTTCCATCAAATCAAATCAATGTAGCAGTGGTAGATGATCTCATGTCCTCAGCCAACAACAGCGATCAAATAGAAAAGGCATTTACACAGTATGTTCATCATAGAAACCTGAGTGTTATTCTTATACTTCAAAAGCTGTTTTTCCAAGGTAAGAAAATGAGAACAATAGCTCTGAATTCCAAATCTCTAGTTTACTGCGCTGCCCCATGATCAGATGCAAATTGTCACACTGGTGTGACGGATGTACCCCACTAACACACAGTACTTTTTAGAAGTTTTCCAAGATGCCACGATCCCCATGGTTACCTTTTGGCAGATTTGGCTACCACTACTCCAGAAATCTAGAGATTGAGAACAGGACTCTCTACCTGTTTGGCCTGTTGTTTACACTATGAAAAAGAAGAGTAAAAGCAGTAGCTTTGGCACCTTAATACAAGTTCATTCAGGATGTCAGAGAGGATGCACAGAAGTTGGGGGATTTTAAAAATCTTAGTAAAGGCCAGACCAAAACAGAGAAAGCCCATCTTATGCAGTGCTAATAATGATCTAGTGGTGACAATAGCAGAAATAGCCCTGGACACATTAAGAAGTAATCTTCCTCTGAAACTGTCACAGTTCCAGACTTTAAAGAGAAAGAAAGAAGTCTCGCTCAAAAAGAAGCAGCAGATCATTTGTCAGTCAGGAGGATTTATTGGACCCTTACTAGGGGCAGCTATTCCACTGTTGACTAGCCTATTAGCCAGATAAACCATGGACCACGCTGAGAACATATATCTGGGGCTGCATCATCAGATGGAGCAACTACAGGGCAGTTGGCCTACTATGGGGACTATGGCCACTAACTGACTGGATGCGCCATTCTTCAGAGAGCTGATTTGTGTGAGGTCAACTGTATTAAGCTTTACAATTCTGTGTTGCAGAGGTTTCTAAGACTGACCAGACAAATGAGTCTGAAAAGGACAGACTGAATCTCATTTAGCCCCCAGAAGAACCTCGGCCACTTCTGACGTTGCCGAAACAGCTGACACCGCCGTCTCCACAGGACACAACGGCACAGGAGGTCCTAAGGGGTGTGAGCATGCCTTACAGGGAAATGCAGAACTTTTGCTGAACAAAATGAAACAGCATCAGGACATTTCAACGTGGGATGATCGCAGTACCTTTTTATACAGGGGTGTACCTATTCCCAGTACTAATATTTTGGACTTGGTGAAAGGGGCCTCGCAGCACCAAACATTTACTGAGAAGCAGTAACCTAAAGGACGGGACAAATTCATGAATGCTACGGCAGAGGTGAATGTTCCAACATCCACACTGAAGTCTACATCTGTTAAAGACCAATTAGAAAAGCTGAAAAAGCTGTGGCTCCTAACAATGTAACTGTTGCTAGCCCTGACTTTGTTATGACCACCCCTTTTGGACCTGGATTCAGGCAGTCCCCAAAGCTCTGTGTGCTAAACGCCCCGTCCGAAATCCAAGCAGGATTTTCAACCACAGAGGATTTTTAGCCACAGAGTGGAGAGGCTTCAGAAGCCTCTCCCCTCTGGGGCTGAAAATCCAAGTGGTGCTGAGGCCCTCATGCACTCGAGCCACACCGCATTCCCGTGCACCCGACCCAACCTTCCCACACATGCCCATGCATCCCCTTGCTCCATCCTCCACCCAGCAGTGCTTGGGGCTTGCAACTTCCTGCCAGCTTCCCACTCACTTGATTGTTGGAAGCCGGCAGGAAGTTGCCTCGCCTAACAACTGGGGCATTCACTTAACAACAGCAATTAGGACTGCCAGGATTGCAGTCCCTAAGCAATGCGGTCATGTGACGATTCAGTTACTCCAGCCAGTACCCTTCCCACAAGAAATTGAGGAAGAGAGAAAAACATGGGAGCAAGCTTATCCCTCTCAGCCCTGGCCTGACGGAATGTTTTGAGGCCAAGAGTAAACTGATTAGGTGTTTCCCCAGATGTACAGTAAATGCAAATGTAAATGCCCTCCAGGGGCCAATATCCATGAGGGATTTCCAAGAAAGAGGAGCTGAAAGCCAGTGTGATAACTGCAAGCTTTATTAAAGGTAAATACTTTCAGGAGTAAACATGTAACACTCCCTGAGACAGACACCAGGTATGTATGCAATGTTCCTCCATGGCATGCCCATGCCAGGAGGCAGGTTTGTAAAGCTTTTATACCCAACACACTGAGCATTCATTAATCATGAGTGCAAAACAGACCATCCATTAAAAATGTGTGAGAAACTAACTTATCAGCCTGTGAAATGCCTTCCCTATGAACTCTCAGGGTCTCTGCACCTTGCATTGCCCAGGCCATGGTAGGCATCTACTGTTTTTTATACTAAAAGCCTACTATTTTTATACTAAAAGGTTAAATATGGGCTACCTTGCTCCAGGGTATACATTAGAAAATTCAAATTATATAAAGAGAAATCAGCTGAGCATTCCATCCAGGACTTTATGTTCCTGGAGAAGCAATACAAAACAAGAAAGGAGAATTCACTAGGGCTTCCTGGCAGCCATTGATAACAGCATCTCAAGCCAAAAATCCCATTCTATTCTGGCACCTGATAGCTTCCCACCCAACTGACCCCTTTCACTTCTCCACCTCTTACCTGCATCTGTGTGGGAGGACCACTTTACAGCATTATATTCACAAAAAGAGTCTCCTAAATTTGACTTAAATCTTAATGCTAACCTGCTTCCCAACTGGGCCCCAGTTTAAGTGGTAAAATAAAGACATTTATAAGTCAGCTAGAGCCTGGTAAAGCTCCAGGCAATGACTTTATAACTCCCAAAATATTATACAATAATTTGGAATGGTGGACCCCCAGTTTTTGCTTCCCTTGCAGGTAGTCCTTGACCTACAACCATTCATTCACCAACCATTCAATGTTACAACAGCACTGAACAAATGGTGGTTACAAGAGGTCCTTCGAGTTCTGGCCATCCCAGCACCCCCACGGTCACATGATCATGATTTGGGCACTTGGCAACCAGTTCACACTTACGATTGGTTGCAGTGCCCTATGATCATGTATTTGCAACCTTCCCTGCCAGCTTACCCAGAAAGTCAATGGGGAAGCCAGCAGGGAAGGTCGCAAGTCGCAAGGTGTCTCCCCTACCCAAGCACCCTCCTTTAGCCCCTCAGCACCTGCGCCATGCCAGCCACTCAAGTCCCCTATGAGCTGAAACTGCTCCTGTGGACAAGGGGCTGTTGAAACTATAGCTCATGTCCTGCTGTACTGTATCCCCATAAGGACTCAAGGACCTGCCTTATAACTGAACCTTTTTATGTACAGTTGTTATCAGATCAATATGATTCAGTCTCCTTGAACACAGCTAAATACTGTTATACTGCCTGTAAAATTAGGCAGGCTTTGATTATCCACTGTCGAGCCCACTACCAACTGTAGTATTTTTTCTTGTTTTATTTTTACTTTACTTTACTTTATTTTTACTTTTAATTTACTTTTACTTTTACTTAAAAGAAAAAAGAAAAAAAAGAAGTCCAGTTGCCTTGACTCAACCTCCAGACAATTCCACCTGAATGACAGAATCTTCATAAACACTTTAATTTTTATTTTTAATCTGTTTTTGTTTGCAATTCTGGTCAGTGACTGTAATAAATATAATATAAAAATATTCATTCAAGTTATATGAAGAGAGATAAGTTAAGTAGTGTATGTTCAGCACTGAGGGGAAAAAAATAGCTGAGATTGGGTATGATGGCTAGCTGTTTTATCTGAAAAGATGTCACATGTCACCTCTTCTTTCTTGTCCCAGAGTGTGGGACACAGAATAGATTCAAGTTACAGGAAGGAGATTCTGATTGAATGTTAGAAAAAGCTTCTTAACAGAAACAACTATTCAACAGTGGCATGGTAGTGAGCTCACCTTCACTGAAGGAATTCAAATGGGGGCTAGACAGCCATCTATCCAGGTTGCTTTAGTCTGGATTCCTGCATTGAGCGAAGAGTTGGACTCCATGACCTGTATGGCCCTCCAACTCTAAGGCTCTATTAATTCCATCCCTCAAAACCTTGGTTCCAGAGTGGAGGACACAGACTAAAGGATTTAAGTTACAGGAACTGATCCCAATTGAATTGTGTAAGGAAAAAACTCCTGATGGTGAAACCTATTCAACATTGGAATCAATTGATTAAGAGATAATGGGCTCCCTTTTGCCAGATGAGTTGAAATGAAGGCTAGATACCCAGCCTTGTGGGATGCTTTAATTAGGGTAACTGCACTTAGCAGGCAACTGGACTTGATCACTTTGATCAGTCCTTTCTAGCTCTAAGATTCCACCATTTCCTTCCTCTATCTAGGCCAAGTGGTAGTCTTCTTCTCAGTCCCCTAAAGCTAAACATTTTGGGGAAAGAACCTATAGACTGTTATTGGACAATATATTGTGCTATTCTCCCTTCTCTAATTAGCAAGATATTAGTCAGTGCTGTTGCTTAGGGTGACCAACTCCCTTTTGGGTAAGTCTGCCTAGCATTCTGACTGTTTTGCACAGCATTTCACCGTCAAAGTTGGGCAGTTTTGCAAGGATCTTGATCCTTATCAGCAGCATCCAACGCAGAGGTTGAGGTGATGTCCTTCCATGTCAGCTGAGATTCCTTTTGGCTGGCTGGCTCCAATAAAGTAAATAAGGTACTCTCTAGCATGGCCTCCATGCCAGACCCATACCAGTTGGTCCTGGGGCAGAGAAGCATGAGTGGCTGGAGCTACTGGAATTGTCAATGCCTCATTTTGGGAGACGATGATGCCTGGAGCCTTGAAAAAAAGCTCTTCCTCAAGAGGCCCTCCTTGGATCCACCAACTATCACTCAAGCCTTTTCTTTGCGAAAGGCTGTTGCTAGGGAGCCATGGAGAATCAGTTACACGACCCCCTGGAACAATTAGATCAGTGTTTCTCAACCTTGGCAACTGTAAGATGCGCGGGCTTCAACTCCTAGAATCCTGCCAGCTGCTTTCAATACCATCAACTCTTGTTACTGCTTTTCATACATTTATTGTTTGTTTTAGGTTGTGAGCCGCCCAGAGCCGGTTGCAGTGAGGGGCTGGGATCGAAGTTGAATACATACAGTAAAAATAAATGAATGTCCTGGGGGCGCTGGGCTCTCCAGCTGGCCAGGACTAAATGGAGAGGTTCCCCAGCAGCCCCCTAGGAGGAGGGAAGCGTGAGTCCGTGGCCGAGGAAGATTCCCCGAGAACTCGTCAGGCCCGCGACGCTCTTCTTCAGGCCCGGGAAGCGCAGGAGGGATTTGCAGCACGGCAGCTCCGAAGCACGCCTGGCCTCTGGCGCCCCCTTGAGGCGCAGGCTGCTTCCGGGGTAGCCCTGAGGGCAGCGGCGCTCTTCTGGGAAACTCTATGGCCGACCGGAAGTCCTCCAGGCTCCAGCCTCGACCGAGCGCCCGCCCTTGAAAGACGCGATGGCTGCTGCTGCTGCTTGCGGCCACCTCCGCGCCTTCCTCCTCCGCTTGCCTGGTCCTGGCCCCCGGGTGGCGGGCGGCGGGGCCGCC